CCCCCCCCCAATCCTGACAAGCTTTCAAGTCCCTGTTAATGAGAAGCATCCCCATAACATGATGCTACCACCATCGTGCTTGACAGTTGTGATGGTATTGATTGGGTGATGTGCTATGTTGGGCTTGCGCCAGACAGAACGCTTTAACTTTAGACTAAAAAACTCAATTTTTGTCTCTTCTGATCTCAAACCTTTTGCCACATGTCTGCAGTATCATTTATATGCTTTGTTGCAAACTCCATACGAGATTTAAGATGATTCTTTGTGTAGGGAGCGAAATATTGTCGATGTATGAACATTGACTCCCATCTCAGACATGGAACTTTGCAAAAATTTCAGTCACTGTTGGCTTCATAGTGGCATGCCTAACTTGCTTACCCAGCTCCTTAATTTGGAAGGGCGGCCTGATCTGGGTGGTATGATGCACATTCCACTTCTTAATGATGGACTTCATCTAAGTCAAAGGAATAATAAGCGATTTTGAAATTTTATTGTAACCTTCTCCTGATTTGTGCTTTATTAACACTTTATCCCTGACTTATTTGGAAAGCTCCTTGGTCTTCATTGTTAGTTTGTCGTATCACTGTATGAGATGTGGCTTGAAGAGATGCATTTACTGTGAATTCAAATTAATCCACTTTGATTAGACACAGACAGAGACCATTACACTGATTTTATGACCTTTCAAATAAATCTTTTGCACCTGAAATGATTTAGGGTTGCCGTAACAAAGGGGTTGAATACTTATGCAATTGAGAATATTCAATTTATCTTTGAAAATCTAACTTACGTACATAATATCAGCATTTTTTTTAGCTTTCTCAGTTTGGAGTAGATTGTGTAGATTCTAAATATAAAGTCCCATTTGAAAGTTTCATAATTTCAAGCTCAGACGATAACAAAACGTACACAGAGCTACATTGATCATCACGCTGAATTAATTAAGGGCTAATAACGTGAGAAGTTATCCTGATTTAATGGCTGGTGTACAAAGAGCTGCATTGATCATGACGCTGTATAAATTAAATACTAACAACGTGAGGAGTGATCATACATTAGTTTATTTTGTTTTGGATATTCATGAAAAGCTGCACAAAGGTTTTCTGCTCTTATCGACTTTAATTGTGAACTGATAGACTAGTTAAAGAGCAGCTAGTCAACAGAACCCGTCGCTAACTCTTAGGCTATTTCTTTCACAACTGAAAGGCACGTGCATTCAACAATGGTATTATTTACTTTGATTTCTGTTAAAAAATAAAATAATTTATAAGAAAATGCCATGTACATAATGCTTTAGAGAGTGAGTCATAGCAACTCTCTCCTCATAAATGAAATCAAAACAAGTAAAACAACAAATTTTGCTTCATCACAAAGTAAAAAAAAAGAAAAAAAGCCCATACTTGGTCAACTAAGTATCTTCAGAAGAAACGTTGCACGAAATACAAAATAATAGGTATCTTTACTGTGGGATTCGCAATACTCCCCCCCCCCCCACCTTATAACAAATGCATAAAAATATTGCCCGCGACATATAAAAATGTATTATGTTTGGATGGAAATATTCAGTAAACTACATGTCAGTTATCTTACCCTCCAGACAAATATCTTTATATTAATTTCTCAAAATTATCGAAAAAACAACAATAACACATATAATAGAAATTGTTTATACAATCTAAAATAAATAAAAAATGCGAACATTCAAATTCAGAAATGAGATAGATGCCAATTTACCTTTCCGCATGCTTCTTTCCAGAATCATTACTTTGTTCGATATTTTAATAAAATTAAATATAAATATTTGGTTATTGCTTTGAAACGATATATAATATATTTAGAAATAGAAATCGAGACAAGTGAAGTCAGTTTTTAAATAACATAAGATATGGTAATTACGTTAGTTAAACAACTTAGAAGAAAGTAAGTCATTATATTCAACTTTTACCTTCTCTATAGTAGCTACAATGCCTTGCAAAACTATTCAATCACTACCAATAATTTCACATTTTGATGAAATGCAAATAATGTAAACATTTTTTTAAAACTCTAATAATCAAACTTTAACACTGTTATATGTGAAGGAGGTTGAATGTCAGCAAAACCTGCAGAGAAAATATATAAATTGAAATTTGCTGATTACTGTAATGAATCCCATTTGTTAATGCTGGGGTTTTGTGGGTATTTAACATTGTTGTAACAGACAATAACACGAACTTACTTAATGTAAGCAGTATGTGGGCTAAACCGGTAGTGAATAATATAAAAAAAGTCGGTAATTTTAAAGTTAAAAGAAATCTATGTTTGTTCATTTCAAAAGTGTATTTGCACACTGGGTCTTCAAGTGGTAACAGCACCGTGAATACATATTGTTACGACAGCAGAAGTCACGCGAACAGTAGGCACCGTAAGTAAAGTGTGTGAATCACTGTGTTATAAAGGTTGTTAAGTTTAAAGTGACTGTGGAAGTTCTGTGTACTAAAAAGTTGTATCAAGAAAGAATAAACTAGTTTTAATTAACAAAGGACTTGGATCGCTGAAGTTCCTCGGAAAGAATTTATACCGGAAATCAACAAACGAGCAGATAAGTAACAATACGAGTGTTCAATACTCTTTATGCTTAAAACTGTGTAGTTATTCTCAGTATAATGAAAGTATAAAACGGAAAAATACAGTTGTACGTGAAGAAATAAGGTTATATAATCAGTTCGAATTATTTACAGTTTTTTTTTGTTTTTTTTTTACAGTTCGAATTAGCAAAGTGTAATTCTTAGACTTTGACCACTACATCTGAGCATGCCTTCTACTTCTAGATATCAGAAGACACAACTTGCTGAACTCTAAGCGTTTTCTCAACAAATTCGTGGACAATAACATGTACTTGAAATATAAATCCGATCTTTTAGCTTCTGGTATTACTTACATATTTTTGTTTCTGCGGTAAGTTGTTTTGTTTTGTTCAATACTTGTTTTTGTTTGTTTGTTTTTTTAATTATGCACAAAGCTACACAAGGGCTATCTGTGCTCTGCCCACCACGGGTATCGAAACCCGGTTTCTAGCGTTGTAAATCCGCAGACATACCGCTGTGCCACTGGGGGGCTGTTCAATACTTAAGAAATTCGGTAGCAAAAATATTCCAATAGGACGACAAAAGTTATCGAATATTCATAGGTTGTTGGATCATGCACATACAAAAGTACAAGTTTCATGACTGTAGTAAAATAGTCCAAATATAACTAAGATGCTTATTTAGATAGGATTCAGTTAAATTTATCTAGAGCAATAAATGATTTTTTTTGTAGGAGAAATCAGTGTTTCTTAAAATTTCCATGTATTTTGTCTTCGAAAATTTCTACAAATCAAAGCCAACTTGATGTGCTAAACATTTAAGTATTTTTTCTTTTGTTTATTTAAATGCTTAATTTTACGGGACTCCGGTCTCCGTCTCGTTGGCTTCTGCTTCATATGGGGTTCATCTGCTTCATCAGGAAATGTTCTATCGTCGATAACAGGCACATCAGTGGTAATAACTTCATCAAGAGCTTCACCGTTTCCCTTCTCAAAACTGAGTAGAGTTTCTTCTTCGATGGTGGCTTCTTCAGGTGGCACGTCTTCAGCAGCAGCATCATTTGTTCCTTTGTTCAATTGATCC